TCTCTCTCTCTCTCTCTCTCTCTCTCTCTCTCTCTCCCTCAACGCTAGTTGGGGTCAGGGTCAGGTTGAGCAGGCAATAGAAGAGAGGGGGGAAAAGACGGGTATACGTTACATCCAGCTGGTGGATGTTATTATTCGATTGTGTAAACCAATAACTCCTTATTATCCTTATGGCATTTCAGCCCATCATCTCACTAGTTCCACTCGTAACGCACCCCTTATCTTCTTACATCTTCGGTACTACTGAGTTAAATAACAGCTACCACATCCACTAGTAACCAACAATGTTTACCAAAAAAATACAGTAGCTTCGTTCGTTTGTCTGTTTGTTCGTTCGTAAGTTTCTTTGTTTCAGTTTTCGTTTGTTTGGGGTTTTTTGTGTGTGTTTAGTATGTTTGTTTGCTTTAGACCCTATCAGTTGGCACTTTGGTCTTTAGTATTTCCACGACAATGCTTAGGTTTGGATTTTATAGTTATATTAGCTAGTACAAACAAACAGGAGCAAGGCATTTGCTTCGTTATAATTTTACGAAATGAAACATTTCCCCATTCTTTTAACGGCTGTCAGAGAATTACTCATGCAATAGCTTCCTTTGTTTTGTTTGTTTATTTTTGTTTGTTGTTTTATTTGATTGTTTGTTTGTTTTGTTTGGGTTTTTTTTTAGGTTAGGTGTTTTTGTAGTTTATTGCTTTTGAAAGTTGTTTTGTCTTTTTGGAGTATGTGTGGGGGTGGGGTGTAGCTGTTTTGGAGGGTTTTTTTTCTAATTACAATACTTATTGGGGAAGGGGGGAAGGGGTTGTTTGTTTTCTTTTGAAATTTGGGGCGTGGGGGTAGTGGGTTCTCCGTATAAATGAGTCGTTAAACGTTCCCAAAACGAAGGCCTGAAATCTTCTCCAAAACTGAGTAAGTAACCAAAACAACAACAACAAAAGGAATGAAAGAAAAAAGGGAGAAAAAAAACTCAACGTGGAACAGAAACAAAGAAAGAAAAAACTCCCAAGAGAATCGCCAACAGCTTTCACAGGCAGACAAGGCCACATTACAGGTGAGGCGGTAAACTTAAACAGGCTTGGAGGGATGATGGACGGCGAACAGGGTGGGAGTTTTTGCACTGCTCACTTCGTGTTTAAGAGCTTATATTTTTAGAAGAATTAAGGGATTTTATTTGACAGCTCTTTAGAGTACGGTATACTCAAGTTTTTAGAATAGGGGGGGAAAG